CCCAGTGTCTAGAAAAAGTATCCATCACATGCTAAGAACATAACAAAAAAAAATGTTGATTGATTTCTTGGCTGACTGAGGGCTACGGTGATCAGAGGAGGCAGCCCATGAGCTGGGCTTTAAAGGATGGGCAGGATTCAAATAAACAAAGAGCAGGGAGAACCAAAGAACCACTACATGCCCTGACCAGGGAGCACTTGGGAGCTGGACATTACCTAAATACTCAACTGCTTTTGACAACAGCAACAACTTTCACTCACAGGCTCTGGCAGCCTTCTGGGTCTGGATAGGAGAGATTTAATTACTGCATATAGCTTGCAATTAAAAAACTGCCACCTTTCTCCTTCCATGTTGGAGTCAGCACATAGAGCCCTTACGATACTCAAGGAAGAGGGTGATCAGGAAAGCAAAAACCTCAGTTAGCAAATCTACTCCCATGTCCTCCTGCCCCTCAGCAACTGACCTTGGCCATTTTGTGTGCTGTCTTAAAGACAGAGGTTCAGTTTTGTCTGTTTATTTTTGGTCTGATCCAGTGATTCCATCATTGTGGGAAATCCTAGTGTGGAAACTACCTTCACTAGTTGAGCCAACATGGTAAGGGTGAAAGAGTATTAGCCCTAGAGTAATAGTTCAAATCCCACTAAAAATGATTACTCTCCCTCAGGGGTGACCCCGGGCTGGCCACAATCTCCTTGGGTCTTAGTTTCTTTATCTATAAAATGAGAGGGCTGAACTACATGATCTCTGAGGTTCCGTCCAGCTCTTGACATGGCTTGCTCGTTGGCTTCACTTTCCAAATGGGTTCATGTGCAAAATCTTCCAATATAGAAATCAAAATAAAAAGTCCCACTTCCTCCTCCCAAACACATCCGGCTCTATCTCTATAATCTACTTTTGCACAGTTCTGCAACTTTACTGTATCTTAGTCTTAAAGAAGTACCTGAAGGCATGGAGGGTCCACATGTTCACACAGGTAGTCTGTGTCAGACAGGACTAGAACCCAGGTCCTTCTGACTCTAAAGGCAGCCCTCTCTCCACTATGGTATGCTGCCTGGGTTAAGCAGAGAACATGACTGCTCATGACATGTCCTTCTCTGAAACAAAAGGTCCAGTGGTCCATTAGAGGAGCATTGGCTAAGTTCTCTAGAAGCTTGACAGGATTATTATTTCATCTGCCATTTATATAGAGAAGCTGAAACTCATATCCATTATCTAAGTATGCTTTTCTAATTGGGCCCTCATGTCACTGAGCTGTGAGCCCTAGGAAGGGACTGATCCATATCACCAGAGTTTGTCTTCAACACCTTCTCTTTACCCATTTTTAGAGCTTCTCATCTCCTTGCTTTTCTAAGAATCCAGGGCTTTCCTGATACCCCACCCTCTTGTGTCAAGCTAGGGTAGCAGCTGATAAACTCATCCTTGCTGAAACATGGTGAGCATGAGTGAGAATCAGAGCAGGGCAGAGTGAAAAGGCCACAGTTAAGAGTCAGAAGACATGGGGGTTTTAATCCTAGCTCTGCCACTTACTACCTACCTATGTGACCTGAGCAAGACATTTAATGTCTCTGGACCTCAGTTTACCCAGTTGTAAAATAAGAGGGTTGGACTTCATTACCTCTAAAGTACCTTCCAGCTCTAAAGTTGATGAAATCTATGACTACTGAGTTAACTCTGCCAAGGCATTTCTATTCCAAAAGAAGACACAGAAAGAGGGAATTGCTTAACACAAAGGAATGAATTTTTATTAGTGCAATCTGGGGCATCTTTCCAGTCATCTAGGTTTGCAGCCTTAGAGACATCCTTGACTTTTCCCTCTTCCTCACTCATCACATCCAATCAATTGACATTTTGCCAACTCAACCTCCACAATCTCTTTCCCATCTACTCCTTTTTCACCACTCATATGGTGACCACCCTAGTTCAAGCTCCTATAACCCCTTGCCTGAAATATTGTAATGACTCCTAATTGTCCATATTTCCAGAATCTCCCCTTTTCCAAAACTAGAATTGTCCAATGTTAGTGTTAGAGATGGAAGCAACCTCAAAGGTCATCTGGTTAGTTCAAGCTCCTCATTTTATAGAAACTAGGGCCTAAAGAGATCAACTGATTTTCCCAGTCTAGCCCCCCATTAATTTTTCTCTAAATTTCTCCATCAATCACATAATTTAGTACTCCATAGAATGAAAATTCCTTGAGGACAAGGGTTATTTCTTTTCTTCCTTTGGGTCCTTGGCACTACCACAGTACCTTCCACATCAAAGACAATTGATAAATGTTTGCTTGGTTTGTTAAATTACATTCTAGTGTGCATCCTATATTTGTTTTTCTTCTCCAATGAGGTAGTAAGCTCCTTGGGGGTGAATACCAGGGCTCGAACATCTCTAGCATTCTCTACGGTAACTAACATGGAGCTGAGTTCGTAGTAGATGCTCAAGAAATACTCATTGACTTGACTCATTTCTCGAGGCCCTACCACTCCCTACACTTCTAACTGCCTTGATGATAGCATTTTTTAAATAGTCACAACCATACAACTTATGATTCCCAATTCCTTGCTTTGAACTTTCCTTTCATTCCTCTCCAGGATAGACTCCTGACTCTCCTGGACTCCTAGGCCATCCCTCTCTCCACTATGTTATGCTGCCTAGGTTAAGCAGAGAACATGACTGCTCATAATATGCCATAACATGACATATTTATAACATGCCTGGCACTTGCATCTCTTCTCTCCCCTCACTTTTCAGCTCCTTTCTATGTGTTGTCTTCCCCCACAAAAATACAAGCTCCTTGAGGGCAGGGTCTGTCTCTCTTTCTGCTTATATTTGTATTTCCAGAGCTTAGCCAGCGCCTGGCACATAGTAAGCACTTAATAAAATGGCTTGTTGGCTTGACTTTGTAAATGGGTGCATATATGTCCAATCTCCTAAAACAAACAAACAGAAAACCCTCCTTCTCCCAAACACAGTCTTGCAGCTGGATTTCCTCAGCTAAGCAGCTCTGGTCAGTCAGTTGTGCACATAGTACCAGCACCAGACATTATAAATGTTGCACATCAAAAGAGGTCTGAACTGCCTTTCCAAATCAGCATATTATGATATTACGAAATTGGGACACTTAGCACTTCTGCAGCGTTGCCTGCCTTCAAAGGGCTTCATCAATATTATCTAACGAAAATTATCCTAGGAATCTGGAATCCCTTTCTTAGATCCCCCTTGCTGACGTCTGAGTTCCCTCTTATGATTTCCTGGGGCCATAACTCTATTCTCTAGTGGGGGAAAACATTCCCATCAATCTTGCCTCTGGCTTTATGAGTCTAATATAATATACCCAGCCTGAATCATCATATGCTTGAAGGGGGAGAGGAAAAGGAAAAAAGCAATGTGGTGGACCCTACCAGAACCTAAGCTGCCTGCACCCCTTTCCCCACCCCAATCCACCTCTAGTAGGTCCAGGAATGCTTGCAATCACCTTTGTTACCCAGAGAAATAGTGGACATGTCCTCTCTGCTGGGTCAGCTCTCCACTGCTCCATTCTTTTCACTGCAAAACTACCCCTGTCCAACCCATTTGTTTTAGTGTTTTTTTTTTCATTCATCTGCCCCCCACCCACCCAATGCAATTAGAATTGAGTTTCTCCAGCATTAGGGGAGATTTAACAACAGTGGGGAAAACTGTCATTTCATTCCCAAACATCAACACGCCTACACTCACCCAATCTGGAGTCTCTCTAGCTTCTGTTCTACCTCCTTGAATGGCAGGAAGAATATTAACAGGAAAAGCCTTGCTCAAAGTTAAGAGGCAGGAGGAGCTTTGATGGTGGAAGGGGATGCTTCTTTCATTCATGAGGCTGTCTGTTCTAACCCCTACACTGAGATGACTGTGACATTAAACTACATCTCAAGGCCAGGCTCTCTTTGAAAATGGCAACTTTCCAGGAGTAGATTGAGGGTGAGGAGGAAGGACTGGAACTTTCTTGAATGATAGGATGGTAGACAACTGGCAGGGACACCTTAGAAATCATCTTGCCCAAACCCCCTCATTTTGCAGATAAAGAACTGAGGTCTTGAAACACTCAATGGCTGGCCCATGGTCACACTATCTTTTTTAAAACAGACCTGAGACTCTACCCTAAGGTTTCTTACCTATCAAGTCCAGTGCTCTCTTCACCACTCTAGGCTACTTCCAGAAAAGAGACACGTACTAGGAAAACAGACTCCAGAGTAGGATGGGAAAAGCTGACTAGCAACAAGAATGCCGAATTTAGAGGTAGGAGCTAGGTTCAAATCACAGTGCTGCCATTTCCTGGGGAACCTGGGGCAAATCACCTAACTTCTCTGGCTGTCAACTTCCTCATCAGTAAACTGAGGACACCAGACTGGATGATTTCTATGATTCTTTTCAGCTATGCATCATATGACCCTAGAGCTAGCCCAAAGGGAAATGGCGATGTCAACAATGCTTGTCTTTGGCACATAATCCCTTTTGCCATGAACCCAGTGCTGGAGAACTGCAGCATTCCCCATGCCCCACTTCTGGATGTTTTCCTACCTCCTCTCATTCATCCCCACCCTCTGCCATCAAAGCTTAACTGGTGTTGTTCATTTTTTCCAATCTGTCCTGTAGTTATGTTCTTTACTATGTCCACAGCAGATATTGGGTTATTAATCTGACAAACTAAGCCAGATTAATGTGTTCCCCACATGTTGCATCCTCCCAGATAACACAGTGCCTTAGTCTGTGTAAAATTAATTTGTCTCCAATAGATCCCTAAGATATGACACCAACGGGGAAAATCTCAGGTTCAGTAATAGACAGAATCTGCTCTGACTCATGGGCAGATGTATTACACATAGGTACATGATATTATGCAGATGGCTGCTGACTGCAATCATGAATAAGCCCTGCAACTCATCCAATTACCCTGGGTCTACTCACTGGAAAGATCGACTCCTCCCCCACCCCTCCAATCAAGCAAAGAACAGCAATTTTCCCCTACGTACGGATGCAAACGTCTCCATTCTCATAGTATCCTGGGCAGCACTGGGATCTCCGTCGGTACATGGTCCGGAGGCCTCTCCGATACGCCGTCTTATAACTTATTCTAAATCACAAGACAGAAAGCCATTTGAAAACATTGAAAATCAATCACTCCTGTTAGAATTATATTTGTGTTAAGCTATAGCAAGGATGCCATTCAATAATTACTTTAAAATGCATGGAGGCTTCTGATGTGAAGGAACACAATAAAACAAAATCAATAGGGAAATCTTGACACTAGCAATATTGAGTGTATTAGAAACGCAGCATCTGCTAATGCCTGCCAACTCTCCCTCACATCCAGAATGATTCTTAAGCATATTCTTGCAGTCCTGGAGAAGAGAGGTAGGGGAATTTAGAGGACATCCCTAGTTTTGATGTAAAATTACAGACGGGGAGTATTCTAGAGCACGGAGGTAGAAGAGTTAGGAAAATAGGTTTTGGTGCTAGAAAGGCTCTCAGAGATCACCTAGGCCAACCCCATCCCTTTACAAAAGACAAAACTGAAGCCCAGAGAAGTTCACTGATTCCCCCCCGGTCCCAGAGAGACTAAGTGACATAGCTGAGATTTAAAACTAGGTCTTCTAATTCCAAGTCTAGTGCTCCTTCCACTCCATATCTGGTCACTGTCCCCTCAGTACCCCATTGTCAATGACAAGTGTGTGATGAACAGATAAGTAGATTAACTCATTTCATCATTCCTATTGTCCCTTTGGAATTTCTTCCCAGAGGGAAGGGGGGAAAAGGCATCCAAAGAAGCATGTTCTCTCCTGTTCATCAGTCAGAGCCACTCAGAGAATTGGAAGCATTTTTTTTTATGCCAAGAAAACCTAAGGGCTATATTCTCCCTCTTAGATTAACACCGTCCCTGCCTTTTAGAACCAGAAGGGATGTTAAGAGATCCTTTTGTCCAACTCCCTCACTTTACAGAAAATACTGAAGTGGGAGAGAGGGAGGAGGAGGGGAATGGGAGAGAAGGGGAAACTTGTCTGAGATCACATAGTAAGCAAGTAAGTGTTTTCATCAATTGTTGGGTATCCACTCTCACCAAGGGGAGCAGTGGCATGCATAATACACAACAACAGATAATCCCAACATCATTCCCATTGGGTTTTGGCAGGAAGATAGATAGAAACAAAGAGGGCATGATGCTGCATATTTGCTTTAATAAGTAGACTGAGAAAGTATTAATTTACTTTTCCAAAGATCATGGTTTCCGACTACGATAACTCAGAAATATGCAACAGAAAGTTAACCTAGGATTAAACGTTTGCCACCAAAGACATATTTGAAATAATCCATATGAGGTTGATGGATCGGATACAAAGAGTGTTGAGTCTATACATGAGTCTGCAGTCAGGTCCTATGCAACTCTGGATCCCAGATACAGAGACTGTTCGATAAGGGACCTGAACAATGATAATGGGTTCCAGGACCTAAAATCTGACACTTTACAAATGAGATCAACTTCATGTTGCTTAGAAGAGGCGACCAGTGATGGACAATCTAACATAATAGTGACATCTCCATTGGAGTTCAAGTTCACCAACAGCCTCTGTCCTTGGCACAGTTCTGTTCAATGTTTTATTGGTGATTGTATTTATTCATCCTGCCCAGATATACTTGTCGAATCAATGCAATCACTGGAAAAAGAAATCTTCTGCACTAAATGACAAAGGCAGAATCCAAAATGACTTGGGTAGATCATATCAGTGAGCTACAGCTAACAATCAGGATAAATGCAAAGTCTTAGAACAAAAACAAAATCCTCTGCACCAGTGTGGATATGAGCGAAAAAAAAGTAACCATGAGAAGGACCTAGGGACTTGAATGGATTCTAAGTTTAATATGAGTCACTAGTATAATGTGGCAGCCAAAGAAGTTAATTGCTGCATTAAAAGAATTATCTGTAATGTTCATGGTGACCAAGGGGATAGTCCTGCTGTATGTGGGAGGCAGCTTGGAGTCATAATAGAGAGAACACTGCATTTGGAGTCAGGAAATATGAGCTGTGTGACCATGGACAACTCACTTAAACTCTCTGTACCTCAGTTTCCTCATCTATAAAATGGAGATAACTACCATCCTTACAGGGTTGTTGTTAGGGTCAAATAAAATAGCATATAAAGTACTCCTTCTGCTTTGCAAAATTTCAGGCTCGACAAAAATGCCAGTGAGCTATTGTTATCATTCTTGCAACTACTATCGTTGCTCCAACTGTGTCCTCATCAGACCCTATCCAGAGTGTGAGGCCTGGCTCTAGGAACCACATTTTAGAAGGGGCACTGACAAACCGGAACAAGGCCAGAGAAGGTGAACAAGGTAGGCAAGAGGACCCAAAATCATGCCTCAAGAGTATCAGTCGAAGGAATGAGAGATGCTTAGTCTAGAGCAGAGTTCACTGGGGAGGGAGAAGAAAGGTAGACATGAGAGAGGGTTTCAAATACTTAAAAGGATATCTATACATGAAAGGTAAATTAGACTCGCCCTGCTTGGCTCTGGGAGGCAGAACTAGAATCAATGCGTAGAAGTTACACAGAAGCAGATTTCAACCAAAACAAAACAAAACAAAATCTGATAATGAGAGCCAAATGGAATGGGCTGCATAACATAAACATTAATGGTTAATGAGTTCTCTCATGCTGGAAGCCTTCAAGTAAAGGCTGGACGACTCCTTGCCAGGGATAGCGGGATCTATGATCTGGTAGATGTTCAACAAGGTGACTTCTGAAGTCTCTTCCAGAATCGTCTGATTCTCCACACATTCTTCTTCCCAGGGGTCTGGCCTCTTCGTGAGATTATTCTGCTGAGCTCATTGTCTATCTAGGGAATGATCAGCTCAGCAAACCCCACTCAACCGTGCCCACAGGGCAGCAGATAATAACCATTACCAACTTAGCTGAGGGGGCTACACTACATTACTGGCCAGTGGCCATACTTGGCTAAGCAGTCACACCTCAGTTCTACCTTTCCTGGCCCTCCCAGGAAAAGCTGAATCATCTTTCCTCCATTTTTAAATTTTTCCTTTTATGACAAATGACAGCATTTGCATCCCCTAGGAAATCTGTGATATTTGGGGATGTCATTAGATAAGGTCATTCTACTTTATCAAAAACCCATAAGAAGAGGTGTCCTGGTTTGAAAGCCAAGTCTGGCTTGCTAGTACAGGCAGAGAGTTCCCAGGGGTCTTTGGGGAAGCTATGTAAGCACCTGAGTGTGTGTGTGGGGGGTGAAGTCTTATAATTGAAAGCATACTCTAGAGGTCATCTGATCTATTTCCTTGCCTCTAAACAAGTTATGCCTAATCCACCTTAACAGGAAGCTTCTAGGTTCTTATTAAAAGCCTTTAGCCAGCTTGTAGAGAGTGGATAGAGTGATGGACAGAGTCAGGGAGACCTTAGTCTGTCTGAATCCTGTCCCAAACACTAGATGTGTGACCCTGGGAAAGTCACTTAACCTCTCTTTGCCTCAGTTTCATCATCTGTACAATAGGGATGATAATAATAGCATCTATCTCACAAGGTTGTTGTGAGGATCAAATGAGAAACATGTGCTTTGCAAGCGGCTATATAAATGCTATTACTAGGACCTCTCATGAAGAAGAGTCGATAGCCTGACCAGAATTTTCTCTTTTCCTTTATAAGCCAGACTGAGAGTTTCCTTTGCCTCTCTGGATCTCAGCTGCACAGCAGAAAATGGAGGGGGCTGCAAGTTTGGTTCTCTGTCGGCTCTTAGGTGAAGGATGCCACATTAAAACACGCCCATCTGCATTTAAGCAAATTGATGACATCACTGTCAGTGTGCATGCTCTGGGTCATCAGGAAAGCTGCAAGGCAACTCAATAATCCTGCAAAATAATTCATTTTCCAGGAACACAGCCTATTTTAATAAGCAGCCACTCCTTTGCCGGGTGCCAGAGGTGATGAATGGGTAGCCCCAGTTTCAGAGCAATGGATAGAGCAGTGCCACACGTTCCCTGTCACAGAAACATGGCAGTGATATCCTTACCAGCTTTAGCTCTAGGACTGGAACTTGATTGTTTCTGAAATAAAGAGCAGGCCAGCCACTTTATCCATGGTCAGACAGAGCAAAGAACACACAACCAAAACATATCAGAGATTGGAAAGGAACTCAGAGATTGTCTCATCTAGCTTCTCATTTCACAAATGAGGAAACTGAGGCCCAAAGGGAAGTGACTTGCCCAAGGCACACAAGTTAGTGCAAGGGTTGGGACTAGAACCCTGGTATCCTGCTTTCAGTCTAGGGTTGTCGTCTTTTCCCCACTGTATCACGCTGTTTACTATATTAGAAGAAAAGGACTACACTTGTGGTTTCAGTCATACTAGGAATTCCCTCTAACCATGCAGTTCAGCACCTTCTCTGTGATTTTCAGTCTGAGAGTCGCCTAGAGCAAAGGCTCAGACTCATGGCAGGCAGGGTAAGGCCCCTCAAAATTCCAGATAGCAGCCTCAACCAGATTAATATGTAACTGAGAAATGTTTAACAAAATAAATAAAAATACAATACAACACAGATGGTGTTAATTTGTAGTTTTCTAAGCCAATATGTGGCTGGTAGGGATCTGCTTCTTTTTGAGTTTGACATCACTGGCCTAGAACACTGAGAGTTTAAATGACTTGTCCAGGGTCACACAGCCAGTGGGTGTCAAGAACCCAAGTCTTTCCGACTATGATGTGAGCTCTACCCTTGGCCCTCTTTCCATGAAACATTCCTTTCTCCTTATGCCCAAATCTCCCATTAACCTGTTAGGTAATGATCTTCCCTGTAAACTCAGAGCTACAATTTCCTGCTCACCAGATGGATCTCTGCCCCTGCAACTGCCTAAGGATTCACTCTTCTTGTTCCCTATGGTAGTTCTGAGGATTGCCCCAAAATACCATCAGACATACCTGATTCTCTGTAGGCAACTTCCTCTTCAGATGTGCAATTGTTAAAATCTGCTTTCCCTATTACTAGCTGAGGTTAAGGGAAGGCCTTCACCATCCATTTCTCAAGATCGTTTGTCAAGGGGGGCCACTGAAGGTATTTCACCCATTACTGACTCTCTGAGGGATCAAGGTATTCTTGTTCCATGTATTAATTAGCCACCACAAAAGCCAGATCTTTAACCGCTTAACCACAATGCCTCTCACCTAATATGTTCCCAGCTCTAATTGCCTACATGCATCCTGGAAAGGGACTCAGGATGGTTTGATGCAGTTGCATAAATCTCTGGGAAACTGATTCCCAACTTGACCTTCACTGGTGAGGGGAATTCAAGCCTCTTGTTTTCCCCCTTAGAGAATACCATTAACTGATAATTGCCCAATCTTTTTAAAGTTTTCAGAGTGCTTCAATATCTTTTTTAAAAAATCTCATTGAGGGGCAGCTAGCTAGTGCAGTGGATAGAGCACCACCCCTGGATTCAGGAGAACCTGAGTTCAAATCTGGCCTCAGACACGTAACACTAGCTGTGTGACCCTGGGCAAGTCACTTAACCCCATTGCTTACCCCCAAGACAAAATCTCATTGAACCTTACCATGGCTTTGTAAGACAGATGGTAAGGAAGGGATTATTATTCCTCATTTTACAGGAGGAGAAACCCCAGAGAACTGAAGAACTGCCCAAAGTCACATAGCAAGGTTACAGCATGCCCTCATTATCTCACCCTTCCTCAAGGTCTAGATTCTTCCTTGACACTACCCCTCCTTCACCCTCTGGGTCCTGATTCTCACCTGCCCCCCTGCTTCCCCTCCCCTTTCAGTGATGTGACAATCTTAAGGATCAAGGTCAGGTCAAAGGTCCAGATGCCCAGTAATTTATGAAGAACTCTTCATCTGAGGGCAGTACTCACCGATGCCTCGTACACTTGAACCAGTTGAGAATGTCTGTACATCTTGTATAGTAAATCTGGTCGAAAGGGTGAGCGTAGGATTCCTGGACCGTCACAGCATAGCTAAGGAAGAGAGGAGAGAGACATGCATTATCACCCAGGGGGGTTTGATCTTTTTTTAGGACTGGCAAACCTTCCTTGAGCTAGCCAGATGGAAAACCAAGAGGCCTCATCACACTGCAGAACGTGCCAAAGCTGAGGCTACCATCCTTCCCCGCTCATACAAATACACATTCCCAGACTCAAGGAAAGAGGAATTTTAAAACCAGATATTCCCCCCCTCCATATTATTCCAAGAACATATACTCCATCCCCCTCTTAGAGATACTGGCCTGGCTAATTTCCTGAAATAACAAATTAGTTCACTGATTTATTCATTTATTCATTAATTTTCAATTACTTCAATTTTTTAAAATTATTAAGCACCTACTATATGCAAATACTATGTACAAAGCACTGTGTTGGGTACTGGGGAAGGACCAAATTTTAGATGAGCTTCTGCTCCTGAATGAGTCATGGAAATCATTCATTAGTACTTATTATCTGCAAGAATTGAAGTATATACTATATGTGAGAAAGGCCTTGTGCTAGGTACTATAGGAGACATGAAGAATTAGAAATACAATCTTGCCCTCCAGAAGTTTACATTTTAGAAGGAGAGATCAGGCACATCAATAAATTCCAGTTTTCTATAACCCACTTCAGACCAGGGACTTTTCTCCCACCTCCACAAATTCATTCCCCTTGAGCCCCAGTGGCAGCCCAAAAGATGAGGGAAGCGTAACTGTCTCAGCAGGGATGAGGAAGGGGAGAGAAGGTTGGGGAAAGAGAATTATACTAAGGTTCTGCATATGGACTGTATCTTAGCTTTTTGGCTGGGTAGTTAACGTTGCTTGTATATCAAAATGCTAATGAGGGTCCAGATTAATTTAACAGAGCCAGGCTTTACCAGCCCAGGGAGGTCTTTACACTGTGTTTTATGATGGAGGGGCATAATTACCAAGGCTCCCGTCTGGAGCACTAATCCAACTGGGGAATTCTCCCTAAGAGGTCTCTAGGGGCTAGGGTGTGTATTTTTTAAATTACACAGATTTAATCTTCACGTAATGTGCAATGGAGCTGGGCCAAGAACAGCCTGCTACTGGAAACATTAGGAACTAAAGTGGGGTCCCAGAACTGATAGCATTAGGCCCTCCATACAGTTCACAGAATCAGAGGCTTTCAAGCTAGAAGGAACCTCAATGATTTTGTCATCCAACTCCTTCATTTTACAGATAAGGAAACTGAGTCTCAGCAAGAAGAAAAATATCTTGTTATCCAAGTATTAAATAGAAAAGTCAGGATAAGTACCCAGAACTCTTAACTCCAAAACCCAGTGCTCTTTCTACTTCATGTATGGCATGGGTGGGTGTGTGCACCTAAAAACCTGGGTTACCTCTCTATTAGCCACAGAGGCAGAGCCAAGATGGGGGAGCACGGGTAACCAAGACCAGCAGAGAAACCTCAAACCTGATTTATACCCAGAGAAATAGAGGATACGTTCTCTCAATTCAACTTTCTCTTCCCTGCACCAAAGTTCTCACCCAAGCTGATGACCAAATCAGTTGAGACTTGGTTTAAGCTACGTTGCCATCCTGCTTTTCTATGACATAGAGTTCAAGGGACTTAGAGACTGTCTAATCCATTTCCCTCATTTTAGAGTCAGTCAATAAACACATATTAAACACATACTGTGGCACTGTGCTAAGCACTGGAAATAAAAAGAAAGGCAGAGACTAGTCTTTGTTCTCAAGGAGCTCCCAGATGAAGAAACTGAAGGCAGAGAGCTTAAATGTCTTGCACACTGTCAAATCACACAATTAGCAGGGCCAGGATTTGAACCCAAGTCTCCCAATACCCAATCCAGTGTTCTTTCCCCTAACCCATGTTGCCTTTGCTCTGAATTGAAGATTTAGTAACTACAAAGGCTTTGTTCAGGTGTCTACTATGGTGGAAGATGCTCTGTTAGAGGGAAAAGTACACTTTTATTCCCTTCATGGTTTAACAACAACAAAATATGTACTTGAGTTTAATTTGGAAGAAAAAGAGTGTGGGGGACAAAGAGGAAAGAAGGGAGATTTGACTAAACCCACAATCTAGATAATCAGCCTCTGCCTAAGCAAGAACAGGCTAACGCGGATGGGAGACAAGGAAGCCCTAGCTCTGACACTACTTCTGACATCACTTTCGGGGGGGCAGAGGCTTGAGGGCTATCTCACTACCAAGGCCCAGAGATCTGAGCATGAGCTTCTTTGCCTCCTGAGCACGAGCTTCTTTGCCAACTCCCAAGAGTGTGGCAGGCCCCTAGGATACCCCTGCCTGCCCTCCCACCTACCCAAAGGGCTCAGGAATTCCAGAGACTGCATTCTGCACAAGACTAACTGGGAATTCATAAGGCTTACTGCGCCAATGAAACATGGACAGTAACAAGCCTCTGCTATTCTTTTACAGCATGATTCCTCCACTAGGGCCCTCATTTTAATTTTATTTATTTGACTTACTAACATCCAAGTAATGGCATTGTCCTAGTCAGCACAGCTCATCAATTTGGAGATTTAATTTGGGTTTCTCCTTGATTTATTACTATCACTAATAATAGCAGCCCACATTTCTATAGCACATTACAGTTTATAAAGTAATTTCCTCTAAACATTCTTAGGATATAAGCAATATTTTTGCTGGGGGTGGGAGGGAGAGGGGAAGGAGGAAAGAGGAGAGATCTGCAGTGTAGAGAACTGATTTGGAAATTCCTTTCACTGATACAGATCAGCAACTCAGTGTAGCTTATAACAGGTTGTGGGGGGTTTTCTTTGGTCGTGGAAGAGGTACTGTCAAGATAAGTGACTTGTTCTATGGCCATATACAACTACTTTATGTCAGAAATGCAGATCTTCCTGACTCCAAGCCTGACATTATCCACTATACCTGCTGCCTAATTTCAATTTACTAATCTTTAAGCCTGTTAGTAGGAGGAAGTCGTTCTATTAAACATTTATTTAGTGCTTAGGTGACACAGTGGATATCATACCAGCTCTGGAGTCAGGAATACTCATCTTTCTGAGTTCAAATCTAACCTCAGACATTTACTAGCTGTGTGACCCTGGGCATGTTACTTAACCCTTTTTGCCTCAGTTTCCTCATCTGTCAAATGAGCTAGGGAAGGAAATGGCAAGCCACTCCAGTATCTTTGCCAAGAAAATCCCAAATGGAGTCATGAGGAGTTAGACCTAACTAAAATGAGTGAACAATAACAATGCCTCAGGCACTGTGATAGGTGCTGCTTCCAGACATCTTCTCATCAGAATCATCAAGTCTCCAGGCCAACTGGCCTCTACATGCAGCCAGAGGGGGGCTGCCTGTCCAACACCAAGTATCTAGGAGCAGAAGCATCTGCCATTTGACTTTTGGGGTGAGTGGAAAAGTCATCATAGGATGTTGGACCTGGAAGGTGCCCTTGAGATCACCAACTACTCATCTCATAGATACAGAAAAGGAGGCTTGCCAAAATTAATTTTGTTTGTAAGGGGCAGAATGAGAAGGAGACCCAGGTTTCTTGATTTCCTGACCTTTGGAAAGAGATCTCATTTTATCCCCAAATGACCTCTGTCAAGAGGGGTCCCATAGCTAGACATCCCTTATAGGAAGCCCCACATCCCAAAGTCACGTGTGAGAAGAGAAGACGGCCAGTTTACATTTTGACATAAGTTCACTGAAGCATTACAAAGTCCTTTGAGGACAGGAAACTTTCTCTAGAATTTGAACAGTGCTCTGCATAGAGAGACAAGTTAACATGCAGTTGTCTATTATCAAAGGTCCCACAACTGTCTTTGTCTTTCTATTTCTGTTTCTCTGTCTCTCTGTCTGTGTCTCTGTCCATATTGTTGTCTGTCTCTATGTGTCCGTGTCTCTGTCTCTTTCTTTTTCACTTAGCAACAAATACCTATAAAGGTGCTGCCTATAACAGGCAAAATCGTTGTAGATTCATGTTGTGACAAATATTTAGGTCTATTAGCACATAGGAAATGTTTGACAAATCATGACAATCATCCCAAGCAATAAAGACAGTGACAGAAAGTCTGTCATCTTTTTTGATGCAGTATGATATGGTGGATAGAGGGCTGGTCTTGGAGTCAAGAAAACGAGTTCAAATCTACTTCTAATACCTACCAGCTGGATAATCGCTGGCAAGTCACCCAGCTGAACCTCAGTGTCCTCATCCATAAAGGAGTGATCATGATACTTGCCCTACCCACCTCACTTAGTTATATCATAAGACTCAGCTATGGGGCAGCTAGTTGGTGCTGTGGATAGAGTACTGGCCCTGGAATTAGGAAGACCTAGGTTCAAATCTGGCCTCAGACACTTGTTGTGTGACCCTGAGGAAGTCACTTAACCCCGATTACCTCAAAAAAAAAAAAGACTCAGTTGTACCTGGCACATAGTAGGTACTTAATAAATGCCTGTTGCCAGATTGGTTGAAATGAGATGATATATGTGAAGTGCTCTGCAAACTTGAAAGCGCTGAATAAGTATTCACTGTCATTACCTGCTATCTCCCACTGAAGACTAACAGCATCTAATATTTATTGGTTCCAGAATAAAACCATGAGTTTGGGGACAATACTGCCCAAATCTAAGAAGTCTAAAAACTGTTAAAGATTAAAGTAACAATAGAGCATGCAGTGCAACAATTGCCAGCGACCGTCCTGGCTGACAGGAAAGCTCCAATGTCACCAAGCATCTATTTGTACATCTAAGCATGGTGTAAAAGAAGGAGCACTGACCCTGGCACAGAAGACCTTGGGGTAAGCCCTGACTTAGTTACTGACCGTGGACAAGTTTTTTTTTTTAATTTCTTGCAATCTCCACTTCCTATCTATAAAATGGGGCTAACAATTCTTGCACTGCTTTCCTCATGGAAAAGCATCTTGTATACCTTAAAGGAACATTGTGAAGTGTTAGTATTAGTAATAATGAGAAGAAAAAGAAAATAATAATAGTAAACTTCAGAGGGCCATAGGTTTGAGCTATTAGTATACCTAGATACCATTCATAGAACAAGCCTTCCTGGTCCAGTCAGGCGGTCTCCTGTTTGTTCCCCCCATAAGTCACTTTTTTCTGCACTTCGCAAGCCTATCTGTTCTTCAAAAGCCAGTTGAAGTCACACCTCTTGCACAAAGTCTTTCCTGATAATCCAACCAGTCTTATTCCCTACCCCCTTTGAAATGCCCCATCATCTGAATCACACTGTTGAAGATGTAATTTGATGCTGAATTGTACCCTGTCTCTAATGGGTATTCCATGACTCCCTAACTTAACTGTAAGTTTTTTGAAAGCGAGAGCCAAGCTTTACACTTTCCTTTTATTCTCCCACAGAGCCTTCCACAAGAGTGAGTATTCAATAAACAGGTGTGGATTATTGATTCACCCCACAAGAGGAGCAGGGCACCCTCAGGAGCCAAACAACATGTGTAGGGGAGCTTGGCCATTACCTCTCCCAGTGACTGCATACATTGGGATCATCGGGGTTCAGCGAGAGTGTGCTTTGCAGAAGGAAGGAGAGAAACAACATTTTCACCACCGACTCTGCTAAAAGGGAGAGTACCATCTTGGGTCCTATGAAGGGGAACAAAAGAAGAGGGGTTATTAATCAAACTGCTTCCCAAAACATCTGTTTAGCACTTCATATTCCCAACATCAAACAGTAAACAGATCTGCTAAGCAGATTAAGTCTCTCATCATCATGGAGTAATGAACATTCAATATTTTATACTTGATCTACAAATTTTTCTGACAGCTGCAGACATTTTGTCTGTCATAGTAACAATTTGCTAACTCAGAGTCATTCATTCATTCATTTACTCATTCGACAAACACTTACCAAGTACCTATTAATCAATTATATCGGACAAATGTCTTCTAAGTGCCGACTAGAAGAGACAAAGAACAAAATGTCACAGTCCCTGCCTGCAGAGGGCTTCCATTCTAGGCTGTTGTGTAAAACCCATGTGCTGGGCACCTGAATTGTGCTTGTCTGCATGACTGTTGTTATTTCTCCTAATAGTTGTCCATGAGTTTCTAAAAGCTAGGACTCCTGGTTTCCTTGGAATTCCCAGAATCTTGCACATAGTAATATAAAATGGCAGCTAGTTGGCACAGTGGATGGACTACCCGAGCTGGAGTTAGGAAGACTCATCTTCCTCAGTTCAAATCTGACCTCAGATACTTACTGTGTGACCCTGGACAAGTCACTTCACCTTGTTTGTCTCAGTTTCTTCATCTGTAAAATGAGCTGGAGAAGGACATGGCCCACCACTCCAGCGTCTTTGCCAAGAAAACCCCCAAAAGGGGTCGCGGAGAGTGGGACGCGACTGAATATGACTAAGCAGCAGCAACAACAACTTTGTAAATGACCAGTGGCCTGAATTATGAAGGATACAGCCAGGGATAAGGGCACAGCCTCATTAAGCTGGGCAGAAGGGACGCGAGAAGAGCACAAGCAGCCATTGCGCCAGGCAGAACTGGCTGAGTGCCAAAAGGGGAGGCGAGGATGGGGAACAAAGTGTCATGAGGATTCCGAGGGAAGAGAGATCACATGCAAGCTAGCCTACATTAGTAGAGAGTCTGAATCACGGAAGATATTTAAAGAAATGTCATTTCATTACTTTCAAGTGAATACACTCAGCCCTGGGCAAAGAACTGTGAAGTTGGAGAAATTTGCCTTCAGTGCCTCCAGGCTTCCTTTGCTTTACCTTCTCCTCTATGACATCTCTCCCTCCCTCCTTCCCCCTCTCCTGCCCCCCCACCCCTCCCCTACATCTAGCTTTAGGTCTTCAATGTCTTCGTGCCTCTTTCTCTACTTCCCATTATTTAAAAACTACTCTCAAGAAAGGGTAGTATATCAGTCATTTATACCTTAGTGTGAGTTCAAGTCACTTGTGTCAAGGTTATTTGCATATTAATCCTGACCTTTCATCGAAGCTTCCTAGGCTTTAGAATCATAGGCAGAGCTCGACAAATCCACAAAGATCCCAAACCACTCCATTTTGCAGGTTCACAGGCTCACATGTTTGAAGAAACGCCTCCTAACCTGGCTTTAATGACTAGCTAGCAATAGCTGGAAAAAGCCAGCCATTCACCATCTGTATACAAATAAGAGCTAACTTAAAAATGTCATCCTTTATTCCCTTAGCAAGTCCTTTCATCACAGATAATACAAAGGCAAACCATCATAGGCCCTCTCTGGATTGTCACAGATTCTAAGTTATTCCAGTTTCCAAATTCAGAAGGTTCTCCACATATACCTAGAATTGGGACATCATTTGGCAGAAATGAACCACACAGGATAAAAAGGTAAAAAATAAAAGAGGGAGTTTCTAGTATTTTTGCAAAGCAAGAGAGTCAGTGAACGAGCAAACCAAAGATTCCCTCCACCTACAAGTCCGGTCCAGGGAAAGCTGATAAGTGGCCAGAGGTGGGCCCAGAGGCCACCATGCAAAACGAAATCAAGGTGTCCTCAGAACAGCCTCAGGAGGAAGGTCAGATTCAGCTGGGAAAGATATGCTCACGTTGTTGAAGGGCACACAGTATGCGACAGCTAAAAGACAGCAGGACTCGAGGCTTCTGTCAGCTGAAGTTACAATGAAACCAAGACTGAGAGCTGGGGCACTGATTCTAAATTCTCCCCATTTCCTGCACCTATGTGGAGATGAGAAGGCTGACTTACAGAGTAAACTGTAGAAGACTTTCCAGATAAAGAAACTGAGACCCAACCCAATCAATCAATCAATAAGTTTATAAGCTCTTACCCTTGCTGGGATTACAAAGAAAAAGGGGGGGAAAAGCACTCAAGGAGTTTATATTCTAATGGGAGAAACAAAGCACAGGGGCAGCTAGGTGGCACACTGGCCTTGGAGTCAGAAAGACCTGAGTTCAAATCTGGCCACGGACACTCAACACCAGCTGTATGACCCTGGGTAACTCACTTAACCCCTTTGCCCAGCAAAAAAAAAAAATGAGAAACAAAGCACACACAAGACACATAGAGGGAAGAGAATAAGTGCTTATTAAGCACATTTATTATGTGTCAGACACTATGCTAAGAGCTTTATAAATATTATCTCATTTGATCTTCACAATAACTCTGGGAGGTAGGTGCTGTTATTATCCCCACTTCACAGCTGAAGAAACTGAAGCAGACAAAAGTTAAGTGATTTGCCCAGGGTCACACAGTAAGTATAAAAGGCCAAGATTTGAACTCAGGTCTTCCTGACTCTTGGGCCAGTGCTCTATCCACTAAGCCACCTAGCTGCCTAGCTGAGTATATAGAGCAGATGCAAGGCAGTCTTAGAAGGGAAGACACTAGCAACTAAGAGAACCAAGAGAAGCCTAAAGCAGAAGATGAGATCTGAAGTGAGTCTTCAAGAAAGCCTGGGATTCTAAGAGGCAGAGGCAAGGAGGGAGAGCATTCCAGGCATGTGGAACAGCCACTCCAAAGGCAGTGAGGCTAGAAATTAATCCAGCAAGTGATTTTTCTCAAAGTCACCCAGGCAGGTTTAGAAATCTAGCATTCCTAATTCCCAAATCAGGGGTGCTCAGCTTCTCATTTTAGCAACTAAACTGACAGTGCTGATTTGCATATGATGGGAAGGCTACATAGGGTAGCGATGAGAAAGAGGGCTGGATTAGAGTTAGAGGGGCTGGGTTTGAAACCTGGCTCTGTATATCACTAAGGTAATCACAACTCTCTCTGCCTCAGTTTCCTCATCTGTAAAATGTTAGACTTTCCCAGATCTAAATGAGGGATCCCATCACATATGCTAATACCTGCACATAGTTTACTTACCAAGTACCGCAAAGGCTAGACATCTCCCACAATGGCTAGAGATCTCCCTGGTCTTGGTTACTCACTATGTCAGGGCTCAGAACCTTTTATCCTTCGGGTACAAGGAAGGAAATAGGGATAGTGTTGTGGCCTACAAGGGGAAGTCAGGTACTACCACACCTAAGAATCAACAAGGGTCCAAGCAGTCACCACAAATAGTACAGAGTGACTATGAGAAGGTAAAGAAGGAAGGCTCCCTTTGGAGCAGGTGCCTCAGGGTGCCACTGTGGAAGCTACTCCTGACATACCAAAAAACACTTGTTCATGGGACCCCTGTCCAGGAACAGGGAACAAAGATGTGCTTACAATAATTAGTTTTAAAAATAGTACATCTGCCTTGGAGACTTCATGAAGACCTCGTGAACTGCTTGACTCAAGAGTCAGAGCTGCCCTTTCTCTATGACCATTCAGGGGCAACTCATACCCATTAACTTTAATGGGGCTTCCAGAGGACCATCCAGGGGAGAAGAGATCTCAGAGGCACATGCCTGTTAGATGGCCGAAGGAAAATCAATCCACTCCACAGTGTTATTAGGCCAACTCTATTTGGAGTGACAGAGGTTAACAGTTTGGGTGACATTTGATTTAGAACATTAATAATTACATAAGAAAATGCCCCTACATTCAGACTGGGGCAGGCTGAGGAGGGGGGGAGGAATGTAAATAACCCCAGGTCCTTTTATTTCCCAGGCTGGCTCTTTAGTGGCTAGAAGCTGGAAGGAAGAACAGAGTGGTTGTTGACCTCAGTTTCCTCATCTTTAAAATGGGCTGGAGAAGGAAAATGGCAAACCACTCCATTATCTTTGCCAATAAAACCCCAAAATGGGGCCACGAAGAATCAGATACAACTGAAGAACAACAGCTTCCACCTCACAGAATCACTGTCTTCCTTTAAGACAAGGAAAGGGGAGTCACTAAATTGCACATAAGGATCCTTGCTGGCGCATATTTACTTAGAAAACCACATATTAACATTTTCCATGTTTTACTGCATTTTTATTTTTGTTAAATATTTCCCAATTACATCTTAATCAGGTTCAGGCTGCACTCAGGAGAGCTGGGGGCCACTTGAAGCCTGTTGGCCACGTGTTTGACATCTCTGCTTTAAGACACAGCTCAAGCCCCTCCTTCTACCTGAAACCTTTCTTGATTCCTGCTAGCTGCTAGGGCTTTCTCTCCCCAAACGACTTCTTATTTAACCACCTTGTGTTTGCTCTCTTTTGACTTCTGTAGGCACATCTGTGCTCAGCTGAATCAATATGGGTGTCCTCACTGAATAGCCTTCTCTGCTAGATCTCAGTAAACCTCCTTTTGTTAACTGTCCAATGACACACAAGTTTTTCATTTCATTTTATTATCATGTGTGAACTACCCTGGAATCGGCCTCACTCCTGCCCAGCCAATAACAAAGTCCTTGGTTTGTGGTATGTTCCCCATAAAGGATCTACCCAATGTGCTGTAGGTCTTCAGTTTAAAGATCTTTAATAATGTATTTCTTTTTATTCTGAAGAAAACACTAAATAAAATTGGCATTACCATATACATAGAATGGGGGGAATTATGTATGAAACTTAGATCTTTAGTATATACAGCTTGCTTTTCTTTTTAAACATGTAATAAGTTGCACCTATAGTTTTCAAAACTGTCCTGATTGCCTGTGCTTCTTTGGGCCTTCCTTCTGTTCTCTTCTGTGCTTATTTTCCCCCTACTTCTGCTCACTTTGGTCCATCAT